ATTTTCATTTTCAGGCTCGTGGATTTCCTTACAAGTGTGGGTATAGCTCAGTTTATTCAACCACTGCCTCTTCACTTGCGCTTTTTTTTTTTTTTTTTTTTTTTGAGCAGTTCTTCTGAACAGAGTTCACATTGCCATAATTAAGTCGTGATGATTAGTGCCAACCCACCAGTCCTCATCGACTATAAATGTTGTGTAACTTTTCAAATTACATTTTACACATACTCTAAGCCTTCGTCAATCACAGCCTTGTTATTTCATTCCCTGATTTTTCACTTGAAAATTTTTTCTGTCTTCCTCATAGATTATTTTGCTGTATTCAGGTATTTCCTTGCTTTTCCTCGGAAAATGATCACTTCATCAGATAGGCAAGACTTTTCCCAGTCTTTTCTGAAAAATATGTATTGTCCACCACTCCCATAAATGTCACTCTTAGATTAATACAGACCACAAGAGAGCTATGTGTTTTGGCAGCATTCTTTGGAGCTTTTATAGATCTATATCTAAGAATTATTCAAGTATTTTTAATTTAACCAAGTTAAATAAACATTCATAATTAAATGTATTTTTAATTTTGAAAAGTTAACACTTCATGGTGCTTACCATGTACCTGACACAGTTCTAAACACTTCACAGCTACTAACTTATTTTATCCCCATAACCATTCTCTGAAGTAAGAATTATTATCCCTGTTTTACAGATGAGGAAACTGAGGCCCAGAGAGTAAATGGTAGAGTTGGGATTGAAAGGCTGGCTTCAGGCCCCAAACTCTACACCACTCTACAGCTCCGTGAAATTTATCAGCATATTGATTGCAGGAGTGCTCTGAAATATATTCACTACTCAATAAGCCACAGACAGCTTCACCCACATTTTATATCAGGAAAAGCTATGGGGCTCCCTTCTAGCAAAAGTGGGTGGTTTGTATTTCTGTGAGCTTATCTAATCCTGGCTGTTTTATTGCCCTATTTTATTTTTCTTTTGCCCAGTCCCCATAATTATTTATTTTATCTTTTTATGCTGTTCCATTTTTCTAAACTGGCGTAGCTGTTTTGTGGAATGTGGTAGGAAATAAATATATAAATAAAATTAATTTTTTCCAAGTCTTTATGAGATCAATCTATCCATTGCCAGGAAAATATCATTTCTATTACCAAATCTTGCTGTATAGTCCTAGTTATGTAGCTAGTGACTCACTTTCCACATCCTCATTTCAATTACAAAGTCATATCTGTGTGAGCTAGAAAAAGAAATGAAAATACCACCTAGGTCTTTCAGTTTCCTACTTAAAATGTCAGAGTCTCTGGAGACACATTCCAGAGCTTTACAGTCCATGTCTGCCCTAATTGGCCACAGAAGTTACAGGATTCAAGCCATGATGTGTTCAGCAGGAGTCTAAGTACATAGGCAATGAGCCAGTTGGGCTATAACTGGGTGGGGAAACGGAAAGTCCTTGGTTAAATAGGCGAAGACTCAAGACCAAGAATCCAAGCTGAGAGTGGGGTGATGGCAGGTCAGGAGCCATTCGAGAACAGAATGAGGTTAGAGTGTAGCATCTGGGCGGGTCAGGGGATGGACAGGTGCTAGAACAGCAGCCTAGCATGAGTCAGTGGGCTTCCTGTGACCCAGCTTTGTCTGTTTCTCTTGCTTCATCTTTCACCTACGCCCCTCGCATCCTCCACCCCAGCCACACTAATAAATGACTGAATGTTCTCCAAATATGCTGAACTGTTTCACACCTCCACACCTTTTTTCATGCTGTTCCCTTCCTCTTGCCTCTGTCCACCTGACAAGTATCTACTCATTTTTTTCTAGATGCTGCTTAAATAATTTCACTACGAAGCCTTTCTTGCCTCCACCACAGCCTGTCTCCATTCATCTTTCTTGCCTTTCCACACCCATGTACTTGTTGCCACATCTATCTAGACCTTTTGCACCATAGCTCTCTGATATGAGAAATGTCACATTACTATATTTTTTCTAAATCAAATTTAGAAAACATTGGTTCCCAAGGGCCAGGATGTTGACACACTCAATATCTTTATGGGTGCCTCTCCCCCTAGAATCATACCCAAAATCCAAGGAGCTTAAAACAGGTCAGAAAATGTGGGAAATGGCCTTCTGGTCTTCAACACACCTCCCAGGACAATACTGAATAGAAGTAGCAAGAGCAGACATCTCTGCCTTGTTTCTGATGATACAGGCAGAGAATCCACTCTTTCACCACCACATATGAGGTTAGCTGTGGAATGCAATGGCACCATCTCAGCCAACAGCAATCTCCGCCTCCCAGGTTCAAGCCATTCTCCTGCCTCAGCCTCCGGAGTAGCTGGGATTACAGACATGCACCACCATGCCCAGCTAATTTTGTATTTTTAGTGGAGACGGGGTTTCTCCATGTTGGTCAGGCTGGTCTCGAACTCCGGACCTCAGGTGATCCGCCCACCTCGTCCTTCTAAAGTGCTGGGATTACATGCGTGAGGCACCGTGACCGGCCAATAAATTCTTAATAGACAAAAAATTCACAAGCAAATGCAGGAATCAATGTAAAAATAGAAGATTTAAAACAATACTAATAATCCAAATCCTGAGCCCCTGAGCCCCATCAGAAGTTACTTAAGCCAACTGAAATGGAGTCCCCTGAAACTTCCTGGTTACTATCCCTTCCAGGCTTAAACAGGCCATGTCCTCAGAGCAGTGGCAGTTCCCCCCCCCCGCCCACCCACATACACACACACCATGATTTCTATACCATTTATTCCCAGTGTGATGGATTCTAAGCATCAAGCTGACTTTCCTGCACATTTGAATTTGTTCTTCAGGAAGACAGCACATCTCTAGATAGAAGCAAAGCACTAAGCAAGCATGAACTTCTGAAGGCATGCATAAAGCTCTTGGCACAGTACCTGGTGCCTGATAAGCATTCCATTAAAGTTTGTAATTATGATTATGACTAATTTTCCCATGCCCAAATCATCTGCCCCACCCCTGAAACCTTCTAATGAGGATGCATCATGCCTCCCGAATTATCAGTCAAGTCCTACCCCACAAAGGTCAGCAACCACAGGAATGGTACATACCTGTTTTTCTTGGAGATGTTAACAGGTTTCCTACCACTTGCTGTGCCTACCAGACCTCCTCAGAGCTCCACACTGCACAGAATGATGACACTGCTTCAAAGTGCAGAGCCTCCCCTATGACCACCCCAGCACCTCCCCGCTGGGGTCTAACTCTAATAGTACAGCAAGTATTTTCTGTCTCACTGTGTCTCTTTCTATTTGTCTTCCCCAAGACACTGATACTCCTCTTTCTCTGAAAATCTTTTCCCCTGCTTTGCCTTTCCTATTTTTTTATTTGTCTCAACTTTTCATGTAAGAGTAGCCAGAACTCATTGTGTTTTCTTCCATCTTATGTAGCAGGGAGGTTGTTATGGTTTGTACCAGATGTAACTAACAATCACCTCCAGTAAGAGGACACAGTTTGAGATGATTATAATAGTTCTAACTCCATATTTCCTGGAGTTTTGTGGTTTTTGTTGAAAAGCTACCACAAAAAATTGCCTCATTTTCATGGCTCATTTAAAAGGATACACCTACGAAATCTTCTCAGAAGTCTGGTTGTCTCTTATTCTTACCCATGCCCTAACCTCTGCCATCTCCATGGCATATGGCAAAGTGCCACCCTCTGTTCCATAATACCCGTCATCCACAGCGGCACTGCCCCCAGCATCCTGACTCTTCTTGTCCTGTGATCGGCTAAGATGATCTCAAGGGCCCTGCACCCACCCACCTCTCCCTCTGCTCTTTCTTTATTTATGTTTTTTTTTATTTTTTGAGACAGTTTCGCTCTTATTGCCCAGGCTAAAGTGCAATGGTACAATCTTGGCTCACTGCAACCTCTGCCTCCCAGGTACAAGCGATTCTCCTATCTCAGCCTCCCAAGTAGCTCGGATTACAGGCATGTGCCACCAGGCCCAGCTAATTTTTTTGTATTTAGTAGAGACGGAGTTTCACCATGTTAGTCAGGCTGGTCAAGAACTCCTGACCTCAGGTGATCCACCCGCCTTGGCCTCCCAAAGTGCTGGATTACAGGTGTGTGCCACCGCTCCCGGCCCTGCTCTCTCTTTCTCCTCCCACTTTGCAGGCTGCTTTCACTGCCTTCTCTCTATCTGTCTATCTATCAATCATCTATCTATCTTTATTTATTTAATTTTTTGTAGAGTCTTGGTATGTTGCACAGACTGGTCTTGAACTCCTGGGCTCAAGCAGTCTTCTTGCCTTGGCCTCCCAAAATGCTGGGATTACAGATGTGAGCCACCACATCTGGCCTTACTACCTTGTACACTCTCTGAACATTCCAGGGATATTCCCCAGTCAGCCCGTTCTAATCCCAGTTGTTAACAAACCAGACTTTATTACCCTCAAAAGAAGAACTGAATTTCTACAACAGACAACACTTCATACAAGTCTTGGTTTCAAGATACTGCTTTTTTCTTTTTCCTTTTGAGACAGACAGGGTCTCACTCTGTCACCCAGGCTGGAGTGCAGTGGTACAATCATGGCTCACTGCAGCCTTGATCTGCTAGGCTCAAGGGATCCTCCCACCTCACCCTCCTGAGTAGCTAGGAGTATAGTCATGCACCATGGGCTTCAAGACTCTGTTTTTAAGAATTATAATTCTTAAAAGTCCACATGTAGTGTTGAATATGGTAGGCCCCTCTGGGATGAACATCTACTTCAAGTTACAGGGCATTTCTTAACTTTTCTCTCCATTGTTGACCCTTTTATGTACTCTCTCTGGCATATCCCAGACCAGGCAGAAAGAGTAGTACCTCGTGATATTGATGATTCAAGCAGGAAGTCCCTCCCTACCAGGGCCAAAGTTAAATGGTTCTGCCCCCTTAGCACCCCTGGAAGTCAGGGAAACTTCAATTGGGACTGATCCTCAAATCATGCCATAGACTAAAGATGAACCAGTATTTCTGTATGTCCTTGTTTCAGAAAAGAGAATGGCTGCTGTTAGCCAAGGGGGAACCACTGGGCCCAGGACACAGCCAGAGAATTCCTGCCAGCACCTTCTATGTGATCATGCCATCACGCTCCCTCACACTGCTGGTGAAGGCGGTGGCCACACGGGAACTGATGCTTCCCAGCACCTTCCCCCTGCTACCTGAGGACCCACGTGATGACAGTCTTAAGAATGTGGAGGCAAGTGGAGCCCAGATCTCATGGGACAGATCTAGAAGCGAATGGAGTTTGAGAAAGGGAGGAGGGAGAGGAGTGAGCCCAGGAGGGAATGGATGGGGAGCTGAGGAAGGAGTGTGGTAAGACAGTAAGAAGAGAAAGCAAGAATAGGCAATGATGCCAGAAGAAGGAAGTAAACACTTAGATGATGGCAGCAGGGTAAGGAGTGAAATAGAATGGAGGCTGGGTTGAGGGAAATGAGACTTGAGAAGAAAAAACTGGGAGAGAAAAGGGATATTGGCATCAGTGATGACTGGGAATTAGAGTCATCCTAGAGGACTCACGACATGCACACGGACCTGAAATCTGAGGAATAGGTGGCTGTGAAGGAGAAAAGGGAGCATCACAGAGTAGAAGCCTGATGGCAGGCCAGGGCACAGGGAAGCAGGGGAGGAAGCCACAGCACCGGCAGCTCCAGCTCCTGGGGATGCACTGGACACTTGTTTTGTCGGTTTTGTCTTTGCACAGACTGGTTCTCCTGCCCCCACCTCCTCCCCAGAGAGGAGATTGTGATGTTAGACAAGGGAGAGCAGAACATTGGGAGGGAAAGGAAAGGAGAAGACAACAGCGGAAGACAGAAGAAAAAAGAAAGGAGAAGGGTGTAAAAGGAGACCCAAAAAATCATTCTTTGTATGGGTTTTCGTGTCTTTGTGTGTTTATTTTTTGAATGTGTCAGCGCTTGGGTCTCCAAATTGGTGGCAGTGGGTATAGATGTGCCTGTGCATATCTGTGCTGGTGTATTCTTAGGGGTCTAACTTTCTGCATTGCATGTGTGCATATGTGTATACCTGTGTTGCGCTCATTTATGTTTGTTGAGAAAAGGAGGAAAAGGCAGCCAATGTAGGTGCCCAAAATAGGAAGGGCTTCAAAATGAGACGAGATGGATGTAGATGCAAAGGCCATTTTTTTCCTCCTCCTCCTCCTCCTCCTGGGATCTGGATTCTCTACATTTGCTCTGCTAGTCTCCCCAGGCTAAGGGTGGGAGGGATGGCTCTGGGTAGGGAGAACTGGAACCACATTGCTGCTGGCTCGCTGGCTTAAACGCAGCAAGGACAAGGCCTGGGATTGTACTCTTGGCTTGGCGGCCACAGAGACACAGAGAGAGGTGGGCACAAATGGCCATGGCCCGCTCAGCGTCTCACTTTGGGGCCAGTGGTTCCTGGCACAGGATGTTGTGGCCGGAAAACCTGACTGCACAGGAATGTTGTACTCCTGTATCCCCTCCTCCCTTTCCATTCAGCTCAGCTCACCTCCAGGCTGAGAACTCCATGTACTCGCCTTGCAGGCTGTGAGCACCCCGCCCTGCTGTGTAGCCCGCTGACACACTCTCCCTCCGTGCTCACAGGGGATCCCTTGTAGCATTCATGTGCGCCGGCCCCCTCAGAACCCCTGGACATGCGTCTTGGGGCCAGAGTGTTCAGTGTTCCTAACCACTTAGGGTTTTTCCTACTTCTCCTACCCATGCCTGGCCCTTACATCACAAGCACTGGACCTCAGGCCAGAACACCCAGTGGGACAGCATCTATTTCACAGCCTTCATGGCAGCCCTGGGGTTTCACACTTCCTCCAGCCCCTCACACTTCTGGATCACTGCCTGACATCTTGTGTTCTGTGACCTCAAGTTCCCTGGGTAAGGCCCCTCTTTTCTTTTCCTCAGAGCATGCTGGATAGCCTGGAGCTGGAGCCCACCTACAACCCCTTGCAGGTTCAGAGCCACCTGTACTCACACCTGAGCAACATCTATGCCAAGCCTCAGGGGCGGCTCCACCCACACTGGGAGAGCCGAGCCCCGAGAAAGGTACCACTCCTCTCCTTCCCTCCTCTTCCTTATTTCCCCTCCCTCCCCTTCATGCCCAGAGTCCTAGAAAGCCCTCCTCCCCCATCCCAACACCACCCCCATCCAAGGGAGTAGCCCTCTTCCTGGATCCCACCCCTGGTGGAAGGGAAAATTAGAACTCTTACTGGGTAGGGAGGCCTGTTTGCTAGGGCATTTACATATGATAATGTTTAGGTGTTTTAATTGTAGTGTTTATGATAACTCATTAGTCATTTACCAGACTATTGTCCCATTAAGCAAACTGGCTACACAGGAACTACGACCACAGTCCTCCTGAAAGAAAAGGCTGAAGGAAAGGTGGGAAAAGAAATGCCCAAGGCATGGGAAATTAATATTTATAGAGCACCAGTCATTTGCCAGGTTTTATAAGTGCTTGCTCATATATTTTTCTCATTTAATCCTCACAGCATCCCTGCAAGGTACGTGTTTGCTCATTTATAGATGAGGAAAGGAGGCTGACCAAGGTTAGTAACTCGAGAGGACTCCCATGACTGGGATTGAAGACAGTTGGGGTTGAAGAGGGAAGAATGATTGAGGATGGAGAAATATTTTTATGAGACCCATGTTCTATATAATATTTGGGCTTCCTTCTGCCCTTATTAACTTTTTCTCAGTTTCTTAGTAACACAGCCTTTAGAAAAATTATCATTTTGGGCCAGGCATGGTGGCTCATGCCTATAACTCCAGCACTTTGGAAGGCCGAGGCAGGTGGATCGCTTGAGCTCAGGAGTTTGAGACCAGCCTGGGCAACATGGCAAAACCTCGCCTCTACAAAAATACAAAAAATTAGCTGGGAGTGGTGGTGCTCACTGTAGTCCCAGCTACCTGGGAGGCTAAGGTCGGGGGATTGCTTGAGCCCAGGAGGTTGTGGCTGCAGTGAGCCAAGATTGTGCCACTGCACTCCAGCTTGGGTAACAGAGCAAGTTCCTGTCTTAAAAAAAAAAAAAAAAAAGTCATTTTGTCTTAGCTAAAATTACAGGATTTCATTTTCAAACTAGAGGTAGGAGCAGGGGCTACCACAAGTTAGCTGCTGGGCAAGCTGCCAGAGGTAGGACACTGGGCAAGGAGATAGGCACTGTGGAGGCTGGGCTCAAGGGACTCCAGATCACTGTCCTGGGCCTTGAGGCTGTCACTCCAGGGATGGGACTTACGAAAGAGTTAGGACAGGAAGCCCAACAGAGAATGGGATAGGTGCTCAGAAACTCTGATCTTCAGAGAAGACTCTGGTTGCTCTCTTTGCAGACTGGGCAGTTGCAGACCAACCGAGCTCGAGCCACTGTGGCCCCCCTGCCTATAACTCCTGTCCCAGGCAGAGCCTCCAAGATGCCAGCAGTCAGCAAATCTTCCTCAGATGCCTTCTTTCTGCCTTCAGAGTGGGAGGAAGATCCCTCAGGGCCCTAAGTCACCAGCACCAGAGCCCAGCTGCCCAGCTTAACTACATCCATGCTCAGGTTCACATAATGGCTATCTGTGTGTGGTCAGACCTGCTTTCTATCCACCTGAGCCTCTGTGAGTGAGGGCTGACTGGGAAACAACAGCCTTCCCCTCCTCTGTTTCGCTGCTGTCCCACTCCTCAAGTCGGGAAGCGACACACCCGAGCCTGTCCCTTCTCCAGCAAGGACTCTCATTTTCTTTTGAATCATTTGATACTGTTTACACAGGTGAAGATTAAACACCCAGTAAGCTTCCACCATTGTTAGGAGCATTCCTAACCCAGAATTTCTTCTTGTAGCTCTGTGTAAGCAGGTGGATGAGGTCAGATCACCTTTGGTAAACAGGACCTCAGGAACAAGGATGAGGTTTTCAAAGCTCATAAAAAACAAGTAGAATTGAAATCCAGGCCTCATTGCAGAGCCTGTGCCCTTCCCGCTACACCACCAGGCGTAAGCCTCCAAAAAGACAAGTGCTTGGTACCTACATGCAAAGTGTGTGTGTTGTGGGGTGGGAGGGCTGCCATACAGCCCAGAACAGGGGAGAGGATGGTATAAAAAAGACCTACTCCTTTCCTGTTACTCTCTCCCTACATGTACCAACCTTCCTGTTGCTCCCTCCATCCACAGAATAATAGCTACCATTTATAAAATGTTTACTCTGGGCTGGGAGCAGTGGCTCACACCTTTTATCCCAACACTTTGAGAGACTGAGGTGGGATGATCACTTGGGGCCAGCAGTTCGAGACCAACCTGAGCAACACAGTGAGACCCCCATCTCTACATAAAAAATATTTTTAAAAAACCACTCTGTGCTTCAGATTACACTATATACTTATAATGTATCTAATTTCATACAAAAAGCCCTGTGAGGTAGGGCCCATTATAGCTTTCCCATTTTACAGAGGGACACAGAGGAAACTGAGGGTTGCAGATGTTATACAACTCACCCAGGGCCACAGAGCTCATGTCTAGCCCAGGGCAGCCTGACTTGACTCCCCAGGCACTGAACCGCCACACTCCTGTTGTTCCCTTCCTGGACGCCTTTCCGTGACTCTCAACACATTCCTTGTTGTCCTCTTGATCCCCACCACACCCAACCCAACCACTGTGTCCCCTCTTTTTCTGTTCACACACATAAACTTCTTAAACCCAAGCTGACTTTAATGAGAATTTTAAAATTTTTAAATAGGTCTCTGGCAAAGAACAATGCAGGAGTAAGAATCCAGGCACAGTCCAACATCTCCCTGAGGCCTCCACATGGGCCCCTCAAACTGCACCCACTCTGACCATGCACCACTTTCCACAGACCTGGTCCCGCAGCTGTCCCTTCCTTTGGGGAAGTGGAGAAGGGACAGCTTTAGGAGGATACAGAGCCCATCCCTCAGCCTTGCCATCTGCCCCACTTCTTAGGACTTCCTGGGATTGTCCTTCCTTTGACTCCCCTATCCCTCTGGTCCCCTGGTCTCATACAGCACGGCCCCTCCCACCTTCTGGCTTCTGCTGGTTCTAACCATTTTCTTAGATCCCTAGTGCCACCTCCCCATGGTCCTCCTTAGCCACCTCAGCCTTGCCCTCCTTCTCAGGTAGAGGCCTCTGACTTGACCCCAGTCTTGTCAGTCCCTACTCTAGACAGCTCACAGTCTCAGCTCCCTGAGGCCCCGCTTTTATGGACCTGGCTGTATAGGGCTGAGTTGTAGCTTTTGCTGCCACTGCCAGTTGCAGTACCAGGTTCAGGCTTGGGAGCAGGGAGGGGCTTTGTGCTCCGAGGGGGTGGCACAGCATAGTCATCAGTGGCAGGGTTGTAGGGGAGCTCATAGCCCTCCTCCTTCACCCGGGCTTGGCACCACCATGCATCCTTGGGCTCCCGAGGCAGATCATAAAGGCCCTGGGGAGGGACTGGGGCCAAGCCTTCAGGTTCATCATAGATGGGGTCCTCTTTGGGGTCCGTCAGCTTGGCCTTCAGCAACTGCTGCTGTGCATGCTCAAACAAGTCCCAATAGAGAGGTTTCTTCCGTTGCACTCCCTCTCCTGCCCGGGCAGGGGTGCTGTCCAAGGGGTCTGAGTATAGGGAGTCCTGGGAAGGGCATGGAGCAATTCGCAAGGAGTCTAAGGGCTCAGCGTACAGGGCTGGGGGGCTGTCAAGGAGCTCTTGGGGGCCAGGTGGGGAAGGCAACTTCCCCTCTGCCACCTCCCCTTCATGGGAATCAGCTCTGAGAACATCGTGCCCCTGTCCGGCCTTTCCCTGGGCCTTCTGCCGGTGGATGGCAGTCTCAACTGCCTGGAAGATGTCATTTCCCTGTGCTGTCTGGAAGGTGAAGGTTCCAGGGCCGGAGGGGCAGCGGCGGCCGGCCTCGAAAGAGAACATGACCTGAGGAGGGTAGAGAGGGAAACACATTACCAGGAGCCATCAGAGGAAGTGAGTCACAGGCCTGCACTAGTTAGGGTATCTACAAAGAAGAGACCACCTGGGGTCACCGGGTAGGCAAGAAAGGGGGATCCAAAGGTCAGCGCTTCCCACCTTCTGTCCTGCCCCACCCCTCCCACAGCTGCCCAACCCAGGAAGCCCTCCCGGACAGCCCCTGCACCTTGTCCCGGCCATAGCGACGCAACAGAGTGTAGGGCCAGGACAGAAGTGGCTCCAGTATCTGACTCTGGGCCCCCATGGTCAGGAGAGTCAGCCTCTCAGTCTCCACCCTCAGCACGTAGGAGCCATGCAGGCCACAGCGCTCGGCGGCCTCAGTCCTCTGCACCGTTACCCAGAATTGGGATCCTGGAAGGCATATACGATTAGACAGCTGCTGGGGGAGGGGCGGGGGCAGCAGTGGGGACCCAGAGGACTCATGAGCGTAATGTCCAAGCACTCACTTGGAAGCCAGATCTCAGGGCCTTCCTACTTCCCCATGGGCCCCTGGGTATCCACCCACTTTCCAAAGGCCCTCCTCCTCACTCCATCCCTGCCCCGGCTTCTTAGGCGTCTACCTTCCCAGGTGGGGCTGTACAAGGAGTTCTCCAGCATCTCCAGGGCAGAAAGCTTAGGTGGGTTATCTGAAGGCGCCAGAGTCCAGCTGCCTTTCTGTAGTAGAGAGAGAGCATCGAGAAACCTGTAATTTTCTCAACGGGGAGTGGGTGTCGGTCTGAGCCACCCCATTTCTCTGCCTCTGTAACTGCCCCCACCCCACATCGCCGCAGCTCCTCACCGGAAAGGCGTTTCGGCACAGCGTCTGCACCCAGGCTGCACTGGACGGCGCGTCGGCCGCCAGCAAGTGCGAGCGCTGAGCAGTGTCCAGGCGGAAGGCAGTGGCGCCGGGCTCAGGCGGGGTATCCACGGTAACAGGGGCCACACTCACACACTCAGCCAGACGGATCACCTTGCAGTCCAGGCGGCGCGAGCTCCCTCGGCCACCCCCAGAGCTCGACCCCTTATGGTCAAAGAACTCGAGCCGCGCTACGCCGTGAGGACTGGCCGGGTAGAGCACGGCCCATGTCTTCCTCCACCTCTAGGGAGAGAGTGAGAGGGCTGCAGAGTGAGTGGCGTGCGCGGGCGGCCCGGGTCCCGACGGGGAAGGAGGGAGCGGCGCAGGTCGATTTGGGGTCTGGGGCTTCCAAACGGGGGGGCGAAGTTTCCCAAGGAGGATGCCACTCCGTCTCCCCAGGACCAGAACCCCGAGACTAGAGACGCTTCCTGGGAGCGTACAAAGCAACTTCGCAGGACAGTCACAGGCTCTCCAACTGCCCGCGCCGCGCTCCAGCCTGCTGCCCACCTCTCCCTGTTTCTGGGCTCTCTCACCCACTACTAGCCCGGATAAGGTTCGGCATCCGTGCCCCAGACTACCTTGGTCCCAAAGCGCTGACTCTGCAAAAACAGCGGCCCTTCCATCACGGCTCCGTCCATGGCCCCCGGCGGTTCCTTCCGCGCTTCCTGGCCCTGCGGCGGGAGGCGGGGCGGGAGGCGGGGCCGGGTTCCCTGGAGGCGTTTCCGCCCCTCCCCGGCCCCCACCGGCGGCCGCTGGGGGGTCGCGGTGGGGTGAGGGAGAAGAGCGAGAAGGAAGGGTGGAGGCCCCCGGATTAGCCTGGCGCTACCCAGGCCCCTACCCGCCGTCGTAGGGGCGCGCCGGTAGCTCCACCGAAAGTACTCGGTTTTGGCGCGAGGACCCTGGCCTCTGGACGTGGTGGCTGCGCGTGACGTCATATGTCCAACGTGACATCAGAGTGAAAGCCATGACCTCACCCCGAAAGCCCCCGGAGGCACCGGAGAGACCCACACCGGCCTCCAGAGCTTCAGTTCCCCTGGGCGGGCCCGCCCCCAGCCCCGCCCGAGCCGGGCTGTTTACACTCCGCTGACCCGGGACTCGGAGGGAGGGCTGGGACTGAACCGCTTCCCGCCACCACCGGGGACGCCCCGCCGCCCGGCGGCCGCTTGCATGTCAGCTCCCTGACCGCAGAGGCCTGGCCTCCATGCCGCGGGAAGAGAAAGCTTCTTTGAGCCGGCCGGGAGGGCCGGGGAGGGGGAGGGGGCGCAGCAGTGGCCCGCTCCACAGGGAGGGAGGACCCAGAGGAGGAGAGGAGGGAACTGGCCGGGAGGAATGGAGCGAGAAGGCGGAATGTGGGAGGGCTCAGGGGGATGTGGGAGGGAAGAACGGAGAAGGGGGAGAGAGGGGGGTCTAGTCTCCCCTGGCCGATCTTTTTTTTTTTTTTTTTTTTTTTTGGAAGTCCTAGGACTGATCTCCAGGACCAGCACTCTTCTCCCAGCCCTTAGGGTCCTGCTCGGCCAAGGTAGGGGGAGTCACGTTAACCGCAGAGGGAGAGAGTAGGGGATGGAGAGGATGTGGAGGGACCAGAGAAAACGGTGGTGTGGGATGGAGTCGAGGGGAAGCCACCCAACTGAGAGTTTGATTCTTGTCTAAGGGCATGTGAGACAGAGTACAGAGAGGAGGCACATACCGGAGGCGGGGGCTCCGGGTGTTCTGAACAGGGCCACCAGGCGCGCCCTAAGGGAGGGGGCTCCTCCGGGAGGCCCTACCCCTGGGTCCCCAAGCCAAAATGTCCCCAGAACAAAGCTGCCTTGTTGGATTGATTGTTTGGGTTGGGGGAAGCATGTTGACGGGGGCTTGCTGTAGAGGGGCTGTTCTCAGCCCTAGGCAGAGAAGGCCTTGGCTGAGGAGCCATAGCGCCTGGCCTCCGGTTGCCAGGTGACAGCGATGGTGGTGTTGGCAGGAGGCTGGGACAACCCTACCCCATCCCCCACCCAGCCTTAAGGCCTGGCCCTCCTGGGCCTCTTGACCCTGCAGGGCATCTAAGAGCCTGTGTACTGGGGAGGGCATGCAGCAGGCTCTCCAGGTGAGCTTTGGTGCCAGCCTTCCCTGCCTGGGAATCTGCTGGGTTAGGACTCTGGGCTTTCATTCAGGGGATCTGCGATCCCAGGGACGCCTAGGGCCCCTTACGTGCCTCTCTGCACAATCAGTACAGCTGTCTGTCCTCCCTCTGGGTAAATGGGGTCATCTGGATCCCTCCCACGTCCGCCCCTTGGCTCTTGTCAATCTCTCTCCTCCTCACCCAGGGCTTGCTTCATTCCCCTATACTGAGTGCTTGGTTCTTTTCCTATCACCTTCTATCTGTTGTCTCTCTCCTCTGTGTCTTTCTGTTTTTCTCTCTCTCGTTCCCACAGTTTCCCTTCCTCTCACATCCTGTCTGTCTGGGTCTTCCTCTCTGCGTGTCTCTTGCTCAGTCTCTGTCTCTTTTTCTTGACCCTTCTCTGACTCTTGATCTTTCATAGCTGTCTCTTATCTCTGGGTCTCTCAGGCTGTGCCTCTATGACCTGTGCCTCTGCCCTTATTTAATGTGCTTCTCTCCCTGTCTCTCTTGGTCCCTGGGGCTCTTTCTCTCCTGCTGTCTCTCACGATCTCTGTCTTACTCAGTGTCTGTTTTTCTTTCGTGACTTCTCCCTCTCTTTCTAACTGTGGGCCCCACTCAATCTCAGTTTCTCTCACACGTACTTTCTCTCTGGGGCACCCAGGCCTTCCCTACCATGCGACCTGTCAGTGTCTGGCAGTGGAGCCCCTGGGGGCTGCTCCTGTGCCTGCTGTGCAGCTCGTGCTTGGGGTCTCCGTCCCCTTCCACGGACCCTGAGAAGAGGGCCGGGAGCCAGGGGCTGCG